CACGCCCGCGGCACCCGCAGGCGGGGCTGGCAGCTCCACCCCCGCATCCTTCGCGAAGGCGTGGAGCTCCTCGGGCAAGACCCCCTCCAGCGTGAAGTACTCCGCCAGCCCGTCCGACCACCTCAACCTGTAGAACCAGTCGGGCACGCCCCCCTGGAAACTGCCCAGCACACGATCCTTCAAGATGTCGTCCGTCAGCTCCAACTCGGACAGGGCAGAGGGTGACCCCAGCGGGGTCCACGGTGGTCGCCGAAAAAGCAGATTCACCTTCCGCGCGTCCCAGATGAGGCGAGACTTGATTACGTCCCGCCCGTCCTCGCTCACGTCCTTGGCCACGCAGAAAAGGCCTACGGTGTGCTTCACCTCCTTGACGTACTGGACCATTCCTGCCCGCATCATCCTCATGGCCACGGTAAGCCTGGTGTGACGATCCTTCCAACCTGGATCGGAGTAGCTCTTGATACCATCGTATCTTCCCCAGTCCACCTCCTTCGGATCCTCCAGCATCCGACTCTCGAAACGCTCTAGGTATGGCGCCGCGGTGGTCGAGAGGTCCGTCAGAGACAGGCCCGCGGCCCCTGGGGGCGGCAGCGAGACCTGGTCCGCCACCATCCTGCAGAGGTCGCCCATCTTGATAAACGTAGTAGTAGATGTAGTCCGCTTGTGGCCGCATCCTCCACCCACTGCGTAGCCCGAGCTGTCGGACCCCCGCAGACGGCGAAGCACCGCCTTGCCGTCGCTGATGCCCCCCCACGCCCCGAGAGAGGCGTGGCGATCCCAGATGTCGTAGACCACCTTGCGCTGGAGCCCCGTCGCGCCCCCCCACGAGCTCGGGGCAGTCGACCCATCGTCTGCCCCAACACGCCCCGCCGCCAACGACCGTGGAGCCCGAACTGTCCGACAAGTGCGCAGCCAGGTAAGCCTCAGCTGCTCCGTCGTAAAGCCTGAACTCGCAGCTCGCGTGGCCAGGGGTCCCGTAGGAGAAGGCAAACTCCGAAGAGGGTCCCGCTCCCTGAAGTCCATCATCATCAGGCGGCCGTAAAGGAAGCACCTGCTCACGTGGAGCACGACGTAGGTTGAGCGCACTGGTGCGGTTCAGGTCCGAGATAAACAAGCCGCGGCCTGAACAAAAGAGGCCTCGCCCTCCAGCGTACACCGGCTGGGCGAGGGTCAGCGCGACGAGCCCGAGGAAGCCTCCCCTTCTGCTCCACCCTCGATCTGACGATCTCCCCGCTGACGAAGCCCACGCAGCACAGATCCACAGGAGTGAGCACAGCAGTGCGAGGCTTGCCCAAGGGTCGCCACTCCAAAACGAACCCTCGGGCCACCCCTATTCCTCGTCCCTGGGCGCCGCGTCCCGCACCGACGTCAAGTGCTTCTGGATCTGCGCCCTCTTCCTCAACTTGTCCGTCACCTCCTCGTCCGCGAGAGTGTCCTCGATGGTGTCGTGAGATGTCAGCCTCAAGTACTCCCCACCTAGCGACCAGTCGACCTTGGACTTCCACTTGGCCCCGCTCGCATTGCGAGGCCTCTTCCAGTCATGTTCGCACGTCACGCCCTCGTAGGCCTTCATGATCGCATACATCCTGAGGCAACTCAGCTCGCTGGCCTGGGAGTTGATCAAGCCCTTGAAATCGCCCGAGACCATCATGCGGTCCAACGTCATGGCCAGCACCAGCATCTCGTTGGCGATGGGAGCCTTTGAAAGCTCCTTGCTCCTCAGCCACTCCTGGACCTCGAGCTTCGCGGACCGCCCCCCCTGTAGATCTTGCTCAGCACCGTCGGGGCCACCCGCGTCCTGATACCCCCCACACGCACGTTGGGGACGTGCTCGTAGCTCTTCAAGGTCTGCAGGAGGGCGTCCCTGGGATTCTTACTCTCCATCTCCAGCTGAGCGATCGTGTCCGAGACTGACCCAGACCCTGGTGATGATGGCAGCCGCTCCCAGTCCGAGTCCGAGGCGGACTTGCCAGCCTCACGTCCACTGCCTCTCGTACCACGATCCGAGTCGCTCTTCACCAACTCCTCATGCTCATTCAACTTGGCAATGAACTGGTCCAGCTGCGCAGTCGTCGGAGTGGCCTCGTCGGTGGACCCGACGTGACCCCCCGTAACCTTGCTCGGAGGCTCCGCCTTGTCCTTCTTCAGCGCCTCTGTAATCGCCGTCAGTCCAGCCCGTAGTTCTTCCTGTCCACGCTGCAGCTCCGCATAGAGACCCTTCGCGTCGGGCTCGTCGTCCGAGTCGGGCACCGCGGTGCCCATGATCAGCTCCCCGTCGGACACGTCGGACTCGGAGTCGGAGTCCGAGAGGCACTGCCACAGGCGGAAGACGTAGTTCAACAAGAACACCCCGAAGACCACGCCCCCGCCCGCCATCAGCACGGCCTCCAACTCCCCCGACTCCCAGGCCTCCAGCAGGGGCCCCCAGTAGTCGGACACCTCCTCCGCCGTCTCCTTCGCGGCCGCGGCCGCCTCGAACACCCTGTGGAAGAGAGGCCCCAGGTGGAAATACCTCCAGATGCGCCAGGCGGCGAAAGCCCCACCAGCGAGCCCACCCCAGGAGCGATGAAGCCACCCGTAGCAGACCAATATCGAGCCCATGGCCCACACCCAGTTCACCAGGCCCGCCTTCTTCGAGGTCTTCCGCTTCCCGCCCAGCTTCCAGAAGCCCTTCTTCTTGTCGGCGGCCTTGGCCACCTTGACGTTCTCGGCGTCCAGCTCCTTCCGTGCAATCAGCCTCGATGAGGCCGCCAGCACCATGTCCCGAGTCTTGTCGTTCAGCCCTGGGAAAGCCGTCCACTGGCTGATGCCCCGTGGTGGCTTGCTGTGCACCGATTGCTTATCCTTCAAGCATATGATCTGCACCCTGAGCGACGGGTCCACACACGTCCACGTCTGGTCGCTGGCTTTCCCAACCCGCTCGACCAACAGCATGACCACGCCCGCACTCTGGCCCTTGGGCAGGTAGTAGATCCTGTTCCACTGCGCCCAGCCCCCCATGACGAGCGGGCTGCTCCCGACGATCTTAGTCTCCTCCGCAGCGTCGATGAGCTCGACCTCCTCGACCGAGGCGGGGCCCTCCGCCTCGGTCTCCTCGACGTCGTCCTCGCCCTCGCTCTCGAAGCGGAGGCCGAGGAAGTCCAGGACCTGGTCCTGGCTGAACCTGCTCCCCACGGCCAGGGCCTCCTCCTGGAGGTCGCCCGAGAGGCCCAGGAGCGCCAGCAGCGCGCCTCCGAGCGCGCAAGGCCGCGGAATGGCGCCGCGGTGGGAGGCCGTGCCCAGGCACGACCGCAGAGGGGCCCGCCTGCGGGCCTCGCCCGTGCCGACTTGAGCCCAGAGGGGCAGAGGGGGACGGAGGGGGAAAGGGCGGCTAACAGACTACGACGGGTAGTGTAAAATAAAGTTCAAGAACAACTAATCAAAAATTCCCAATGCGGCTCGGCAAAAGAAAACGTCGGAAAACCCGAGTACCGGCGTGCTCGGGTCTTGCGCATCCCCGACAGAAGCGGGCCCACCCGCCGCCTACCAGCCTGCCGGCACAGGGGAGGAGTCCAGGAACCGAGGCGTGCGACGCCGCCCCAGGGCGAAGCAGCAAGCGGCAATTGGGGGGAGAAAGGGGGGGGGGGGCAAGGGCGAGGGCAGCGACGAGGACGGAGACCCCGACGTCGTGATCTTTGTTCACCACGTGGGCCCCCTGGAGGTCTGGAGACCGTTCCTCCGGGACCAGCTTCTCATCTCGAGAGGCGTTTTGACTGCCCTGGGAAGCGGCAGTGGCCCCTGGATGCCGCAAACTGCCAGCCTCCGTCGTGATTTCCGTCCCCCAGCTAGGGTTGCCGAAAGGGTTATTAAAGGCCTGCGACACACGGCGTTCCTCGGGATGCTTGGTCTTGTCCCTTGACTACTTTTTCTCCTCGGATTGCTTGGTCTTGTCTCTTGGCTGCCTTCCGCGGGTTGCCCTGTGTGGCTTCTCGACTGCATTCCTCGGGTTGCTTGCTCTTGTCTCCTGCTGCCTACCAATGCAAGCCACTGCCAAGCAATGCCAAGACTTGCCAAGCAAAGCCAAGCAGTGCAACGCAATGCCAAGCAATGCGAGACAACGCCAACCAATACGATGCAAAGCTAGGCAATGCGAAGCAGCGAAAACAAAAGCGCCAAGCAACGCAGAACAATGCAACGCAACGCAACGCGATGCAAAGCGATGCCCAGCAACGCCGAGCAATGCAAAAGCAAGGCCAAGCAGACCAGTGCAGAGCAACACCTCCCTGCGTTGGCCACCTGCTCGAGCAGAGTATCCCTTCAGTGGAGTCGCGCCCTACCACCGCTACCATAAGTTGGAGGGGGAGGGGGTCCTCCTCCTCCTCCTCCTCCTCCTCCTCCTCCTCCTCCTCCTCCTCCTCCTCCTCCTCCCCATCCTCCTCCTCCTCCTCCTCCTCCTCCTCCTCCTCCTCCTTTTCTCCTCCTCCTCCTCCTCCTCCTCCTCCTCCTTCCCCCTCCAACTCATGGTGGTGGTGGTGGGAAAAAGGCCCATCAGTTGTGGGGTAGGGTTCGCATGCGGCCTCCCATCCGATTCCCCCTCCTTCAGAACGGCCCCCCTGGAAGCGTCCGGGGGGCCCCGCCCAGGCGCCGGGCCGGGCTCCGCGCTTCGGTCCCCTCGCTGGCGCGGCGGGCGGCAGGAAACCACCACTGCGGCTGCGAGAGAGAGGAGGAGGAGGAGGAGGAGGAGGAGGAGGAGGAGGAGGAGGAGGAGGAGGAGAGGAGGAGGAGGAGAGAGGAAAGAGGAGGAGAGGAGGAGGAGGAAGAGGAGGAGGATGAGGAGAGGAGGAGGCGGAGCAGGAGGAGAAGGAGGGGTGGGGGGGGGAATGGGGGGGGAGGGGGAGGAGAAGGAGCACGAGGAGGAGGCGGAGTAGGAGGGGGAGGCGGAGCAGGAGGAAGAGGAAGGCAACTCTGGGGGGAGGGCGGCTCGAGGCAGCCGACGGCGTGGGCCCAGCCGAGGCCCGTGC